TTTACTCTTCTGTCATTGTCAATTCGCTATACTACTTTAATCCTTGTTTTATAGTAAGACCGTTTGAGCCTATTATGTTTGTGTGGCACTTAAATTGTACCAAAATGACGACTTCCCGCGCAAATTTAGTCATGAACTATACTGCGTTGCCATGGTTACGTTATTTCACGGACTGCGGACCCTTGCACCTCGATTGAGACGCGAAAAACTGCGCAGTCGCTATTTCAGTTCAATTTTCATGATTGGACGAGTATTTCCGAAGGTTTCGTTCTTCTTAATCGATTGTATCGATAGAGAAGGCATTAATAGGTTAATGACGTTGATGGAGTGTAGAACTAAAAATAGATCTTATTATTTCGTAAATCATCTCATAAAACAGAAGTTGCATTAAATTATTTTAAAAACTATACACTTCGTCGACATTTCATTTAGGCCTCTTCCTAAACTACCGTAATTTTGAACATATTTAATGTTATTTATTAATCGTGACGTTTCTTTCGTGCATTTATGACGAGAATATTACAATGTTTTAATACTCCATTATTTAACTTCGTGATATCGTAACTTAAAAATAGGTTTTATTTATTATCTTTATTGCCTTGTAAAAATAGATAAATGGTGGACTTAATTTAAAAGAGGTGTTTTCTACTAACCAACCAGTACATATGGTGCAGAAGATTACGTAATTATTAAGCACAGTGGCCCGCAATCGTTATTTCTAAGCAATTTTCGCAAGAGTCGGTCACAGGATGGGTGACCAAATAAATATTATCTCAAGTTACTCCGTGCTTCGGAAGGCACGTTAACCCACCGGTCTAAGGCCCTTTTGCAGTCGTTAATACCCTCCAATCCGCATCGGGCCAGCGTAGAGGGTCATGGTGCATTCTCCTTAACAACCATAAGGAAGGCTTGAGCCCTTGCAGTGCGGACATAAAAAAGCTGATGATGGTTATTTGGTCACCCTACCGATTGTCATCCCCTGCGAGCGTTGCTTAACTTTTACAACCGCAGACAAAATGCCGTTTACTACTGAGCCATATAATCTTCATTGTTTAGGATTCAAACTCATCGCGTATGGTTGGCAGTTAACAACAACATCTGCTCGAGATAATATATGGTCACTCATCCAATGACTAGCCTTTGCATAAGTTGCTTAACATTCACAATCGCATACAGAACGCGCTATTAATTACGCCTTAAAGTTCTTCATTGATCATGACGTCATATATTAAATTACGCATGCCATTCAAGCAAAGCCCTTCAATGAGTTAATACTCTAAAGTAAGCTTTTAAAATTTAATGTGACATTAACCTAATGTACTTAAATTTAACGATTTGTCTTGAGTCGCACTTACTTAGAATATGTAGGGTTGTCAGATTTCGTTGATTTCAAAACAAATTTATGTAAGCCTGTTCCAACCGCTGGGTCACAGGCCTTGTAAATCGAATCAAACGAAATCGTATAGGGAGAATGGGCAATGACTAGCGTGACCATTTTTCTAGGTCAAAACAAGACATCCTTTTTTTTCTTGTGTTCATAGATGGCCCCTTTCTGGTAAAATGGGATAAGCCCACACACCTGTAATTTATTTTCGGTTATATAATCTTAAAGAATTTGGAAAATGAATGAATTTTGCATGGACACTTAATACAGTCATTTCGTTTCTCTCCTAACAACAGAAAATTCTTATCATTCCCAAAACGGGGACTTTGTGACGTCAGTGTAAACTGGGTATTTACAACTACAGATGCAACCGGAATCGGCTAAGCGGTCCTACCGAAGCACGTAGGAGTTTGAGATAATTTTCGATCACCCGTCCTATCACCAGCCATTGCAAAAGTTGCTTAACAACCGTATTGCAATACCAACGCACTAACCAATGCGCCACCGAACATTTCATACATAGACATTAGCTTTATTATTTTCATTTAAATAATATTTGATTTATTATTTTTCATTGATATTAAAAACCCAAAATAGTTTTTATTTATACAAATATTAAAGTCCATTTATTGAATATTGTATCTTCAAAAAGCCTTAAGTATTCTTTTAAGTCGAGACTTATAATTACTTTCCATTGTAATTCTTTACCGACAAGTAGGACATTATTCTACATACAAAGCATTCATTTCTAAAAATGGTCATTGTAAGAAACCGACTCCGAAAATAACCCAATGGTTTTAAGTTCTTAACAATATAAACAAGTATAAATAGCCAGAGAGAAACGGTGGTAATTTGGAGGATATCTTTGGAAATGTGGGGGTGGCGGTGGAATAAGAGGGGTAGTGGTGGGAGAAATTTCCGTAAGTGTTGTAAAAAAGTAAAAAAAAAATTACTGATGAAATTAATGTAATATAAAATTTTAATAATGCTTATTTATTTCATATACACATTTTGCATATAACACAGTTGCAATTTTATTTTTATTTTTGATCTATTCTGGAGACCGATACTAGGATAATCCGCTAGAAATAGAAAGTACAAAAGTACACGCATATTGTTAATAAAAAATACTTAAAAAACCTACCTCTGTCTCTGGCACTATGAGATGGGGCTCGAATCCATGACTTTTCGTAATCTGGGCGGCTGCTCTAACCACTGCGCTACCCAGGACTTTTTCACTACCACATAGTGTATTTTCATCAATGTTCAAGCAATCTATAATTATACATATGTGTCAGAGCGGTGTTAACAATCTGCTATCTTCTTCTACCATCTTCTCTTAATTTTACACTCAAATGCAACATCGACACTTCTTCACCTCTCTCCGAAAAGGTTTGGTATTCGAATCGAGAGCTCCACGTCAGTTTCTTTTTATCTTCCCAAGTTATTATTTTATACTCCTTGACACTGAAGCTTTGGCTTCATTCTTATATTGGCTATACATTTCTACTATCAATCTGATGTAAAATTCAAACATACTTTCTTCTTGTATTAAGTATCATATACCGTTTTGTTATTTGCGCAGTTTTTGATTATAACATACATAAGACTTTTTAAAAAATTTCTGTACACTCATCTGCGTCCCTGTCGGAAAGGTTTTTCTTACTAGACTGATGTAAGTACTTACTCCTTATAAGAATATTATTACTCTTATGCTCTTCCTCTTTAAACGGCTAGTTGAACCAATTAATGCTCAGAACGCGTCGTGGTTTTTCTTCATGATCTCGCTGTGTTATTCTGTGAATGTCACAACGCGTCGTAAGCGTTTCCATAAGAACCTAACACTAATTTCGTTATGTGGATATTTAACTTTGATCGCAATGCGTTGTGAAGTATTTTTTCACTCAATAGGCGATCTTTGAGCGTGAAGGCAAGTTATGTGTCCAACGCAGTATAGGAGGGGTAGAAGCCTAGGGCAGCATGGGGGCAACAATTTAAAGCTTTTTTATTGTTTTATAAACAATATTTATAAAAATCAATAGAGAGAAATATATATGTACTCGCCAGAACATCGAATAGAGGTGAGTAGGGCATTATACTGTTATATTTTTAATAGACTCAAAGAGAGAGGAGCAATTCAGGACAGGGGTAATTTTGAATTCAATTCATTAACTCACTCTGTATATTCCCTATTCTCCAAAATATATCATGATGTAAAGTAGAACTATAACTCATAATAAAATTCATTTGAAGTGTTTGATATCAAATAAATCATAATCCGCATCAATGTCCAATTAAACAGAAACAAATAAATAAATAATAAAATTGTTGAATTATTTAATTGAGCTTTCAGTGAATTCATTTGAATTATTTCTTGTTTCATCAAACGATCTAGACTTATATTATTTCCTACAATCTCACCTTCAAAGTTTTCTTGTTATTATAATATTGGTAACTGTCAGAAATGTTATCACTTCTAAGTTGATTGTGTATTATTTTAGATGTTTATTCTTCCTGGATTGAGAAGCCGTAGCCAAAACAAGCCTAAAGTTATTGTAAGTTTTTCAATAACATCCAGGCAATTTCAACTTAAGGAAAATATCTTTTAGTGCCCGTGCTTTAAAAGGAGAAATTGGAATCTTGTAGTATCATTCATTCGGTCATCTGTCCGTCAGTCAATTTTGCAACTAAGATACTATTTATGATTGACTGTAGCCTGCTCATTCATACACAAACCCTCGCTACGCGTGTAAGATTCGCTCTCAGACAATTTCTTCTTCTACTAATATCCTCTGGTACTTGGATAATATACCCTGGTATTGGTATGGTCTTTAGTTATAAAATATCCTCAACCTTATAACTGCATAGTAGTATAATATATATATTTTTTAATGATTGAATTCGCACCTTTGATTGACAAAAAAAGATCAGAATCGGTGAAGAGTCAGAAGATAAATATCTAATTTTGTACTACAGACAGATATTGCAAATACAATAAATAATGCGTATTTGCAAGGATGGGTTCTTCAATTACGTATTTTCCTTTGAAGTTTTGATCAATTTCGCGTTTATAACTTATTTTATTGTTAATTAATATCTGATTTATTTGTCTCAAATTTAAAATTAATTCATTATTTAAAATTAAGTTGAATAACAAATTTTTGCTGGCACAACTATAAATAGTTATTTTTTGCGCATGTAAAGTAAACCAGTCTTCAATATTGAATATAACATTTTACATATATATGATAAATCTCAACTGTGATCACTTTTTGTTAAAATAATGATTAATTATTTACTTTATTTACATAAATTCCATGAACAAAATTTTTTACCGCAACATATTAAATACACTTTCCAATTTCGCCATCTTGACTCCAAATTCATTTAAAATTGACCTGCTTTCAATCGGAGATGGGCAAAATTTAATCATAATAAACCATTATACTGAGAATTATACCCCCATAAAGATTACTAATTTTTTATTAAGTCATTAATTCACTATGGCTCGTTTTCAATAACAAATATTTATTTTCGCTTTAAAAAGTAACCTGCTTAAAAATAGTAAAGAAGAATTATCAATGTGTTAAATTATTTACGATTACCAATATAATCTTCAACTAAGAACGAACTTTATTGAAGTCATTAAACAGAATAAAATTTTTCCCATCTCCGCATTCCATTGTGTACGAATAACAAAAAAGTACTCACGGACAAATATGTTGGACATAAGGGTAGCCGGCAGACAAAACACGATCACCAGAATATCCGCCACAGCCAAGTTCACGATGAAGAAGTTGGTAACAGTTCTCATACGCGGCGACCGATACACGACAGCTATCACAAAACAGTTCCCTATCAGGCCCACAACAAACACAAGCAGATAAGCGACGCAATAAACAGCCGTCATTACCCCGCTGTGCCTATACATATATTCATCACTAACACCACCGAAATCTGACCTATTCAGTGTGACATTCATCCTAAAAGGATAATGCCTGTCCATTGCACCGTCCATATGCGTCGACAAAGGCTCCAGGTCCGGCAAAACACTGTTCTCAGGCACGAATTTAGTATTCATCGCTTCTATAATAGAGTTTGATAAGAAGTCCACTAAGTTGTGATTTTTCGTGTGGTTCTCGCGGGTGTGGGAGTGGTTCCTGTGCCTCCCGTGGTGCCTCGTCTCATGGGGGATCTGCGTCGAGTAATTATAGAAGTCCGATAAATCGTCCGTGAACAAATCCGTGGGCACCCTCAGAGGAGCCATATTTTATATCTAACACTCAATACATCACATAAAAATTCGGCAAAACAAGTTCACGAGCTCACTAAAAACTTTAACTTTAGAAAAGTATGAAAAGTTTCGTAGTATAAGAATGATGGTTCGTAGCGGGCCTACGCGCGTTACGGTCGGCGATCGCGCGCCGTCTGCTCGCAGCTACGAGCTGCTACGAGGACCGTAGAACGCATGTGCATGCCATTACCACTTGTTTTCATATATAGAATACTGTATCTCAATAGGAATAAGGTTCGTTTTAAGTTTGATAGTTATTTCTGTAGGCTTTCCGGGAACTCGGAAGGTCGTTGGAAATGCATCCAGGCGGTCGAAAAGGTTAGCGTTCCGTGCATTTTGATCAGAGTGATCTATAATTGAATCTTCAACGCTGTCGTGTTAAATGAAAACCGTTTGAAATACACCTTAGCATAATTTAGTTCAAACTACTTCAATGGTTTGATGTTGTGTAAACCTATTCTAATGTTTACTAGCTCTTTTCCTGCTATTTCCGCGTAAATTACAACCCATATTGTGCCCGTAACTGAAATAATATTCAAAAGCGGTCGTAAAAGTAGCTTCAAAACTATTAGATATTTCCACTTTATAATATTAGGATATACAAGTTTAAACTTTATATTTAAACACATTCAAGCAAAGTGATTTGATCCATTTGCATAAAATTGTTCATTTATACATTGAGTCACCATTCTTACTATCCTCCATAAATTTCAACATTTCCTACTGGACGCGTAATCCGCAAACATTTTCATTGCAAGTTTTCCGCAGCAATATATCCTTTTAAAATCCAATCGTCCGCATGTGCCGCCTTTACAATGAGATAAGTCAAACTAATCATGACATAGATATATTCGACGTTAATGGATATTCGTTCAAAATGAAAGTAATGTCACTATTTAATTCAACGATTATAACATCATAATCTGCATTCACTCATACATCAGTATCACGCTGTTTTTCTATTTTGCAAGGTTCAACGTGAAATTAATATAATTTCTTTAAATGCTGCTCCACTTTAATCTTGCTAGAGATACATATTATTGGGTATAATTGGATTTTGCAAGATGAATAACAAGTTATGTTTTGTATTAATTATATCCTGTTTTATATCTTAATAAATAAATAAATTCAACGAGGTCTTATTCCTTTAAGTCACTCTACGGTCTTTATTTTACGCTCTCAAGCTCTGAAGTTCAATTTAAAAAATGGTTGAACAAACCATAACCGTCTTTAATTTCTTAATATAAGTTATTGTCATTGCGATAAACAACGAGATAGTCGCAAGAAACCGATTAACTTTAACCTTTTGAGAACGGTAAGTTACGACACAAAAACTGAAAAGGCTATAACAAATATATAAAAAAAAACACTTAAGAGAAGATACATCACACGCGAGTGACATGAGCTGTAATTTAAGCGGACAAAGTCACGGGAAAGCTGCTTGTTGATTCACGTTTGAAATGAAATCTATACCGAACGGTAGTATTATGACCACAAAGCGATTCCACAGATTTTATTATGAGAAAGACAAGTAGTAACTCTGTGTTTATTACGACATGGATGGATATAAAACACATAAAAATTTACGATCTGATGATATTAATGTATTTGAAGGCCAATGCACTTTGTATATATTACAGAATGTTTCTAAATAAGTACATGTTGAACTTTTATGGAGAATAAATTAGTCGTAAGGAGATATTGTTAAAATGTTAAGTATGTATACATTATTATGCTATGGCTCTTAGTATTAAATTGTAAGGACGGAGAATCGGGAGAGAAATGAAACTAACGAATGCTGGAATTATACTAGGTTTATTCGGTTCAGACATGGTTTATATAAGTGTATGTATGACGTGTACATTAGACAATATTTTACACTCAAATCTGCCATTGCAGAGAAAAAAAATAAACAAAGTTACAATTTGTTTTTTTTTTAACGACTAGAGTTGTCATTATTTCCCATTATATATGATTGGTTATATTATATGTCATATACATGATTGATTATACAAAATATATGATAATATATGATCAAATTATATATGAATGAATATACATGTGTTAAGTGGTATACATTTCAGAGAAAAATGTAAGTAATGTTTAAGTTATGCTAAATTGATTGTTATTATGGCTTATGATATAATTAAGTTCTATTTCTAATATAGTGTCTACTTTTCCGTTTCTAATTATTTTTACATGTGGTGATTCGTCACAAACAACTTTATAAGGGCCTAAATACACATTTTCAAACTTATTACTACATTCATTTTTTACCAATATTAAATCATCTGGATGGTAAGTTATAGGGTTTATAGGGAACATATTATGAGAAGAGAAGATATCAATAAATTGTTAAGGAAAGACGACGGGAAAGGAGCATGTAGGAAGATGATTATAGTGGACAAATTGTACCTTAGGAGCTGCGGCCAACCGATATTGGTTCGAAGTTATATATATATAGTCGCGGTAAAACTTCATCATCGGGGTGCAGGTATTGCGACGCCATCTCGTGACTATTAGATGAAACTTGAAGCTTCCGTCATTCCGTAGGTTTTTGCGGCGATGATGGCATGATGAGATAGATATCATCACATCTTCTACTAGGTTTACTATTGATCGTGTGTTGTGTGGCCTTCTGGCCGATCCCGCGCATCGCCTTCCAAGCGAGGGACATCGCTGAGTTTTAGTGGGTAAACTCCTGCTCCTTGTCTGCCCCCTTCGGGAGTGGGGCCGCAGGAGTCCCACATGACCCGTGAAGCCCGCGCTGGGTGTCGCGGGTATGCGTAACGAATTTCGCAGCGTCAAAAAAAAAGTTTACTATTGATACAATCATGATACAATAGTTCGTAAATAAAAATATTGAAGGATCTCATTTTACAACCTCTTACATATAAAAACAAAATGCATTCCAGTATCTTAATAATTCTTTTCCATATTATAAACAGTCGTGTTGATGATGAATGATGAAATGACGGACTAACTAACAGCGAAATATAAAAGTATAGTACACACTACACTAATCCTAAATAAACTAGGACAAGAAAATTATTAAGGGACTACGGGTATGCAGTTCTATGTGGAACTGTTGTTACTGTGTCCTAAAAGATCTGTTGTTACCATGGACGTAAAAACAACGAAGCACTATATTATATCATTGTGATCAATTTCCTTTGTAATAGATCTTATCACATAACGCAAATGGAACTAATGACATTTTAATTTCGAAGACTATGAATGAATCCACTTTTTTTACGTATCAAACAATTTACGTTCAAACGCTAACTCCCACTCTATAATACCCATTTTATTTTGTAGCTAAATCCCTAATAAGTGACTTAGTAATCAAGTTGACTGATGCAAATGTACCAATGGTCAAAAGCTGCACTTATTATTTATCTCAGTACATTGTGAATTATTGCCTCAAACAAACAGATTGCAAGCTGCGTGAATGACGACATAAAATAAATTGCATTCACTCAGACAACTTTTACAACTAAATTGGGATATCAAACAGTTTTTATTACCAGTTGAGCTTGTTTTTTGTCTGTGTTGCCTTTAAATGTATCCCATCAACCAATTTAGATAATGCATGAAACGAATCACTAATATCAAATTGATTGTATATAAATTAACACGAGCTAGCCAATAACCCATTAAAGAGTAATGACCATAGGTAATAATTTAATACTATAACATTAGGGAGATTATTTGCACGCCAGTTCGTGCATTCAACCTGCGATTGCAGAAATTAAGTAACTTTCTCCAGAGTTTCTCCATAAGAGTTATGATAAAAAAATTATTTTCTTAAAATCTTATTGAGAACCTTCGTAACCGAATGGTGATTAAATGAATCATTAAAATTACAAAAAACTACCAATTATATGTTTCTGAGTAAAGTGATTTTTAGTCATGATAAAGCACAACCACACACATAATTTTTCGGCTTGAATGATCTATATGCCAGTTTTTAGCCTAGGTTTGACACAACCACCTTTATTATAACCATAGTGGCTTTTGTGTGGTTAAATAAAAATATTTTTTATAATTTATTTCACGCAATAACCTGTCGTTTGCTTTTATCTACCTATCTCATTAAACTAGTGATTTTGTCTCGTTCTCTCTTAATAGAGCATTCCCTGTAAACACAATTGAGGTAAAGTATTTTTTTTTTTTTAGAAATTAATAGAGTAAATTTTTATATTGTATATTTTAATTTTTAGTATCATTATTGTAATCATCTCAAGAAACCTTTTCATTTGATACTCATATGAGGATATGCACCGCCATCTTAGATGGCCTTCGTATTGGTTTTATAATAAAAAATATATACCTATGTTAATAGTATTTTTTTTAGCAAACCGTTTCACTATATATCTCTTACAGTGCACAAAATTAACAAAACTGCCATCACTTTTCATCTGCCACGTTAATTTAAATTAACTTAGCTATTATATTGTCTTTAAATAATAATTTTGTGCAAAATTTGAACTGATCGGTTGAGTATTAAAAGGCATATTGTTAAGTTAAATAAATACTTGTCAAATTAAACTCTAAAATATTAAAATGTATGCGTCACCGAACCATGAAATGCGTTCATTACCCTTGACACTCCTCCGATTTCACCCTCAGGGAAGGGAATAAACAACCACGAATAATTATTACATTAAAGTAATGGAAACATTAAAATTACCTTTATAATTTTAAACATATTCTTTGTGATTAATTGATAATATTTTACATAAATAAAAATGGCCATGTACTAGACACACTCGTCTATGTAAGGTTCCGTAGTAATAAGCAAAACAAAATTTCTTCTTATAGAAATACACTTAAAAAAACTTACTGATTACTTGAGATGGAATAAAATCTCGGGCAATTTTCTTTAAAATAAATACCAATATAGAATTGTGATTGCAACATTTTAAAAGATAAATATTAACTCCCTTTTGCATAGTGTTTGTATAAAGTTA